CCAGTCGTTTCGTAAAAAGAGTAATTACCAAGTAGTTTTTACACTTCTCAGATACTCAGACATGGACTCAGAAATGGAGTCAGATGAGCTCGAGGACGTACTTGTAATGTGGACGTTTCCTGGTTACCTTGAGTCATGTTGTCGTACGTGGCGACAGACCACTCGCAAAGCAGAAGACTTGTGGTGTGGTAGCCATCTTAGCACCCCATTGTGACGTCGATTGCTTCAACAGCTCGAAGCAGTCGGCTATCCCAGCAGACAACGCGCAGTCATCGCAGAGTTGATAATGACTAAAAGTAAAGCAATCAATATCGACGTTTCGAGCCACGAACGCTCTTCAGCGAACATGTATGGGCAACAAGCTAGCAAAATAGTCCTGTTACCCCCAGCGCTGCTCGGTGTGTCGCCTGTCAGTTTATTGCTGTTTTCCGCTCGGTTAGGTAATGCCTCTGATACGCGTTTCATCCAATCGCTAGTGTTGTCGTCTACCATTGGCCAAAAGTCGTCTTCTCGTCTGGTCAGAGCGAGAAAAGCGAGAGAGAACAGAACGCGAGTGTCTAGAACCAGAGCATATAACGATGGCAGACGCAGGCAACAGCAAGGCGCGCGAGGTGAAGGTGGTGCTTCTAGGCGACACGGGAGTGGGCAAGTCCTCGCTGGTACTGCGCTTCGTGACCAACAACTTCCGTCCGTACTCCGAGTCCACAATCGGCGCGTCCTTCATGTCCAAGATGATCGTGGTCAACGACACGCCCATTAAGTATCAGATCTGGGATACCGCCGGCCAGGAAAAGGTAGCATTTTGTTAAAAGTTTCCCTTTTGCTCTTCCTTAATCTTATAGTGTTTTTTTTTTTCTTCTTCTTCTTCTGAGAGCAGTACCACAGCTTGGCACCCATGTACTACCGAGGAGCAGCGGCCGCCATCGTTGTATACGATATCACAAGAAAGGTGCGTCAGCAACGGGGTTTCTCTGTATTTATATTTTGTTGTATTAACTAATTTATTGTTTATTTTACTTGTAGCAATCGCTGACGACACTGAAGAATTGGGTCAAGGAGTTGAAGCAATTGGGTCCTGACAATATTGTGATTGCTATTGCCGGCAACAAGAGCGACTTGGAGGAGAAACGGGAGGTGCCGGCGTCACAGGCACGAGCGTACGCCGAGGAGATCGGCGCGTTGTTCATTGAGACGAGTGCAAAGGAGGACACGAATGTGTCGGATTTGTTCATCCAGATCAGCCAGGCGCTGCCCACAGCGTCGGCTGAGAGTAACGCACTACCGGAGATCGTGGACCCGTACGGAGGTGGCAAGAAGAAGTCGAGTGGCTGCTGTTAAAAAAAAGCAGAGGGGAAAATAAGCGGATGAACCTACCGACAGGACAGGACGATAAACTAGCAACGGAGGCGAACAGTGGACGAGCGGTGTGTCGTGTCAATTGCTTGGTTCGATTTGGACGGCAGAAAGAAGTGCTGAACAATGCGTAAACTTTTTTTTTGTTGTGTTTAGTTTCTACTTGTTTTTTTTTTACCAGTCACGTAGTTGGCGCTTGATTTCTCGTTCGTCATCGCGTCTGCGGTTGTCAATTTGGCCCCGTTTGAAGCACGCCGCCATGATGACCTTGATCCAGCCAGTGTTGCCAACCTCGATCTGCATCGGAATCTACCGGTGTGATAAGTTATTTTCCGTCCAACAACAAAAATGACTTCACTCTAGTCCTTACCAGCTGCGCGTTGGGTCGATTGGCAAATTCTTCTAGTTTCTTGAGCTCTGAGCGGTTTGCCAGTAGCTTACGCACTCGCGTTGGCTCTGGTCGTCCAATAAGTCCCTGGCGCCATACTGTCGAAGAACTTAGCAGACTATCTTCTTGGAAATGTTCAATATATTTCGTACCTGGAATGTTCAAGTCGTGTAGAAACAGCTCGTGTTTGTAGAAAGCCCCGAACGCGGTGGA